TCCTGACTTTCCTGCGATGGGTTTCGAGTTCTTCGTCTGAAATCTTCTAATCTAGTACGTTGGATCTTTTGAGTTGCTAAAAGTAGATAGATAGTGGGTTTTTGGCTGTCGTTTTGATTTGCTTATGATCCGATCCGTTATGTTGTTGGGTCGAGGTGCTATTAGAATGTAGAGCTATGACAGCGTTAGATATGCTTGAGTTCGTGCATGTTGTTCTGTCATTTGTTGGTGGATGTCAGATTTGATCCCATAGAACCAGAGTTTACAAATTGATAGTTATGTGCTTTTGGCAGAAGAGAAGAATGGAAGGATTGCTGAGATAAAGTCTGGAATAGACGAAGCTGATGTTTTGGTATCACAATGAATTGCCTTTGCTTAAATCTCTTTTCTTCCCTGGAGAGTGGAGAGATTTCTGTTGTTTTAAGGACTTGAATTCTGATGCTCGTTTCATTCCCCCACAGATCCGGAAAATGGACCTCGAGGCAAGAAGTTTGCAGCCGAGTCCAAAGGCCGTGTGTCTTGCCAAACTGAGAGAATATAAATCTGATCTGAGTCAGCTGAAGAAGGAGCTAAAGCGGGTTTCTTCCCCAAATGCTAGCCAATCTGCCCGTGAAGAGTTGATGGAATCTGGAATGGCGGATCTGCATTCGGTAAGTCTTGATGAAAACCCTTTGTCTTGTAATCTGTCAGAGAGCACAAAAGATCATTCTAACGAAAATTTCCTTGCTGTAAAGAGTTGCTTTTTCTTCATTTCCTTTGTTCTTCTCTTCCCACAAACGTTACTTAATCTTCAAATGGCAGAGTGGTTTCCGATTTACGAAATGGGCTTCCTTCTAGGTCTCGGCCGGTCAGAGGGAGAGATTGGCAATGTCTGTGGAGAGACTTGATCAATCAAGCAATAGAATCACAGAGAGCCGAAGAACAATGCTGGAGACAGAAGAGCTTGGTGTCTCGATTCTTGAAGATCTTCATCAGCAAAGACAAACCCTTCTTCACGCACACAGCAAGGTACACCATTTCAATTCCCGCAATACATTAAGTAATTTGCTGGCTCGGTTTGAATATCTGCTCGTGATTCTTCTTTCGCTTTTGATCACAGCTTCACGGTGTGGATGACGCCATCGACAAGAGCAAGAAAATACTGACTTCCATGTCGAGGAGAATGACAAGGAACAAATGGATCATTGCTTCGGTTATCACTGCTCTCATCCTCACCATCGTCCTTATCATCTCGTTCAAGCTTTCTCACCACTAAAACGTACTTAAAAGACACAACTCTTCTGTCTTTGTGTTTGTGTATATGATGATTGCCCTGTAATGGATCTGAACCTCCCTGTCTCTCCCAAAGTTGTATTCCAAAGATTTGTTGTGTGTGTGTAATGGATCTCCCTGTACCCTTTTCATTACATGGAAATAGTGTGCGGAATCGGTTCATTGTTAATTCAATGTTTCGAGCTTTTCGATTTTCTGAAGGATAACCCGTCTGAAAGTTGGAGACTTTGGACCAAAGCAAAGATCATTAAGATTTTCCTACAGACATTGTAGAGCAAAGAAGAACCAATCTTGCACACGAAGTGTCCCTTGTTGTCCTTTCTCATGGCATGGTTCCCATATTCAATCTCTGAAGAGAACCAACAAAAGCTTCCAACTTTCTGGACCAAAATTTTTGTCCCATGGGTGTTTTATTCAGACCTTCTCTCTGCTCCAGAGGTTTATTCCTTTAATTGGGCTAAAAAAGAGTATGGATCGGATCTTCTGAATTGGGCTTCATAGAGCCGTGATTTACCAATTATGGAATTACTTTCCCACTAATTATGGAATTATTCTTCTGTTTTTTTTTCTTCTTGTTGAAGTTTTCAACTGTTTGTTCCTATATTTGATAGGATTATGAGAAACTTAAGAAGTAATCCCTTTTTTGTGAAATGAAAGACCATAATAAAATATATTGTTATAAACTATTTGATAAAAAACTATTTGATACGTATATTATATGGTATCTAGCTAGATGAAATTCCAATTTGAATATAAAAATTGATGAGTGAAAACATTAGGCGATAGGGTATATAGGTTTTTCTTTTTTGTAAAGGTAAATATAGATGTATTTATCGATCTTATGACTAACCAATTATATATAGTAAGAGTAACGTGACACAAAATGAAGATATATCTCTTTATATATTAACTATGTGTTCTGTGTTTTTTGTATGCAATGTTAGTCATCTAAACTGTGGTTATATATTTTGATAGAATACTAAATAATATATTATAACTTTAGAATGGAAAAATGTCATTGACCTAAGATTTGGTGGCTCAACCGATAAGGAAAGAAATAAAGTTCCTTCTCAATTGGGTGAATCAATCGATAAATAAGGGAACAAAGGTCTTTCTTAATCCGTGTTCGAATGCTCACTTGGAGAGAGATATTCATATGAGTTTTGCCGATCCTCTAAAAGATATTGACTTTTCAATATATACCTCGATCGAATCCAGGCCAGGGTTCTTGAGAATGGTGGTTTGATTTTAATATAATTATATAATGAATTCGTTAATTTTAAAATATCTAAATAACCTGTCTACATCTTCTAGAATATTAAGGAAACTTATACCACTCCTCTATTGAAAAAAAAAACATTTCTAATATATTTTTTCATCTCCACACTTTGACATATTTTGATAGTTTTTCTTGTAAGTTTAATTTTTCTCTCTCTAATCAGAAAATACGCGTTTAGAGAATTGAGAAATCTGGATCCTTGAACTAAATTAATCAATCGTCTATTATTTATTTCACGTAGGTTTTGGTCATAAAAAATCAACGGCATTTGTATTGAATATATATAAAACTGGTGAACATAAATTCATTCATTCATGCATATTGGAAGAAAATGGTTACAATCATTGAAAAAAAAAACACGGTCCAACACTTTAATAAATCTGACAGCGATTAGTAATAATATGGCTGTAACCAAATATTTCGAAGTTGCCAGAAACGAAAACAACAAATATTTCAGTTTTGAAAATGAAAAATAAATAAATAAAAGGGTTTGACTCGTGGAGGAGTCAGACATGTACGTTACCGTACAGACGCATCAAGATTAGGACTAGTCTTCGGGTCAACGCAACATCGATTATAATTATATATCGAGATTCATAAAATCTGCATGTTGATTTGGTACGTGTTGTCAAGTTGGAATATTATTTGTTTCAATTTGAATGGGTCGATAAATTTGCTTGGATATGATTTTCGAATATTATGTGATGGATACACTGTTGCTTGGTCCTAAACAGTATAATAATTACTCTACTTTTCAAATTGTACAAAATAATATTTAAAATATTAAATTAATACCTCAATTTTTAAAATTTAATGTAATTCCTATAACCAAGATCTAAATACATTTGTTAAAGAACCTCTGGATCGATTTGATTTTTTATTGGAAATTGTTCGCAATTCCAATAATTTAAGTATTAATTTGGTGTAATTTTAGAACTCAATATATTAAGTTGATATATTTTGATATTTAGAGTCTTGGATTGTCAAATTAAAATATAAAGTACTTATTTGATATATTTTAAAAAGTTTGGGGAGTGATATGGGATCTTTTCTGTACGTTAAAGCCCTGACATAAAATAACAGCGTTATATCCCTGAAATTTCGGACAGAAATCTCACGATTCTCGAAAGCGCCACTTGTGCATCATTTTTTATATATTTGTTTTATATTTAAGAAACGAAAGCAACGTGCACATTTGGTAAAACTCCCTACATTTTTTTTTTATTCATTTCTTTGCATAGAAGTTGTCATTTTGTGAATTATAAATTAATAATTGCTACTTAAGATTATGTATAAATAATACGTAAATATCTTTTATAGAACTTTTAATGTAGTAAAAAATCTAAGGAACATGAAGCTATAAAGAGCATTTGATTGAAAGATGTGAAATGCATATTAATGTAATGTCAACCGATTCCAATAAAAGTTGGTTGAATGAGTTTATATATATGTATGTATAGGATTTTCATTACCAAAAAAATATAAAACGTACTTTTTAGAATAAAGTGATGGTGCCCACCGATATATATAACAAATATTCAAAATATATATAGAATGTCATTAACTATTGAATGATAAATAATTATCGCCTGTTTTTGTAGAATGCGATACAGTTAACGACCTAACTCTCATCAAAGCATTTATTGAATGTTTACATTTTTTTAGCAACGATGCTTCATATTTTAGTTATATGTTTGTATGGTGCACTGTACAATAATAACGCATTAATCAAATCAAATAGTAATAAATTTAAATATTCAACTTTTATAATATCAAATATAAATAACATTTACAAGTGATATATGTTGCCCTGCACATGGATCATAGTTTACTTTTAAACCTAAATAGAAAATAATGTTATTGAAGCTTGAACGTGTAATTTATTGCTCTTACCAAAGAGTTGTCTGTTTTTTTTTTACCTTTAGGAAAATGTTGAGAGAGACGCAAGAAAACACATCTTCAAATAAAATTTAAGAAAATCATTCTTAAAAACTGTAAAATTAAATTAGATTGTAAAAAAACATATAAAGTAATCTTATATCTTTAATTGATTTTACATCTAAAAATGATAAAAAAAAAAAAAATTGAGTGTAGATATTTTATGCTAAAATTTTAGAATTTAAAAAGTAAAAGTATTAATCATAATTTAGAATTTTTTTGATAATTTAGTTTGATTTCAGAATTCTTAGCAATGGTCTCCCAAAATTAAAAGAAAACAACATATTCATTTTATAAATTTAGGCCATTGTTTGTTTGTTTTAAGGGTTGAATCAGGCGGTCAAATTGAGTCAGCCACCTACTCCAACTCATCCCTAATTTCCTCCCCTATCACATCAAAATCTATGTACATATCTTCACACGATAAAATTGCTTAACAATATTTTTTTCTTTTTGAAATTTCACAAAGTATTTCTCGTAATAAGTCGTAACTTTTTAAAAAGTTGAGAATACAACCGACAAACTAATTTTTATTAATATAATATTTTGATACAATATCCGTTTTTATAGAAGCATAACAATTATATTTTATAAATCACAAAATAATTGACGCATTCTCCAAATATAAAAATATAATACTCTGTATATAGAGGGGATAGGTATGGTCGAAGTATTTCTTATATCCATAGCATGCGATAAAAGAATTATGTAGATGTGTTGAAACCTATGATATTTGTTATAAGATAATACCACTTTCCACTGAATTCCTCGACCACACCTTTTCAAACTATTTTATGAAATATATTGATAATCGTCCGAAGCATAAAACAAAACAAAAACTTAAAATATATTAATAATTGCGTAGTCCTTTATTTTTCTGCTTTAGTGAAAAGGCAACCCTAGCCCACCACACCAAAGTGTCTTTTTCATTTCTTTAGTTTTGAATATTCTCACATGTTATTTTCGCTACAATACACATACATATGTATACATCCACTTGTACCTAACAGTATCTATATATATATATATATGTGTGTGTGTGTGTGTGTATCCATGGATAGAATAGAGACCTTGACAAGTTCAGAGTTCGCATGGCTGGCTAAATTTCTTAAGCTTACATCGTATCATACATGGTTCTCATATCGTATGATCATCCCAGAGCATCATATCCTTCACTAGGAATTCGGGATATTACTTCTCTTAGCATTTTCTTGAAAGGAAGAAGAAAAAAAAAATGTGAACAAAATAAATAAAGAGACAAAATATCTTAGAGGAGAAGAACGGTAAATAGGTTCAGGAGAGTACTTGGAAGTGAAAATTACTCTTATGGTAGATTAAGGACGACATAGAAATCCCATACTTAGGAAAGTTTAGCTGACAAGAGAGAATAGCTAGAGTAGCCTACATTCGATTCTACTCCCATAAGTTGAGCAGTGGACACGCAACTAGATATTGAAACTCATCAAAGACCGATTTCTATCTCACTGTCCTTCTCAGACTTTGTGTATTCATTGATTTTATTTGCTCGAGGACGAGCAAAGATTTAAGTCTGGGGGGATTTGATGGTTCAGATTTTATCTGGATTTTATACGAGTATGCCTTTGGTTTCTAAACGGTTTCCACGCATTCTTAGGCATTTTTAGAGCCATTCTAGGGTTTCGGGACTATTTCTTGACTTTGGCAGGACCCCGAGGGCATAACTCACAAATTCGGTGAGAATCGGAGAAAACAGTCCATCTGGTTCGCCCCTGACCAGACGAAAATGAAGACCTGGTCAGGGGCTGACCAATTCTGGTCAGCCGGACCAGGAATGTTCCGTGCTCAGCCAGTCCGCCGAACCGAAGAGGACCTGACCAGACCCGAAGCCCAGCTGATCCAGAGCTGACCAGAGTTGGTCAGCCGGACCAGCATTTCTCTGCCTCTGCCCAGTCAGCCGCTCGCCTGCCCCGGTC